GGGCGGCGAAGCCGGCTGGGAGGTGCTGGGGGGGCAGGGCTCCAGCTGGCACGAGTGCAGGCTGAACGTGACCGGAGCTATGCTGCTTGGCCCAAGCCCCTGCAGTCAGTGGGGCCCCAGAGTGGAGGTGCTGGTGCACTGTGACCTCCAGGAGAGGCCGGGGGCACAGGTGAGCTTTTGGGTGGGGCTCAGTGGTGTTTAACAAGCAGGTAACAATGCAAGAATAATAAGACCAGTAATAATATGAACGGTACTAAAATTACTACAGTAGAATTAGTTTTGACCTAAACATTTATTTGGTTGAGTAATGAGGGTTAGGTTTCTGATCCCTGTCCAGTGGCAGCATGATGGTGCTGGTGTGGGTCTGTCTCCACCCCACCACCCCTCACGCCACCCTCACTGAATCCTGCTTTCCCTCTTATGGGGAGGGTAGGTTTCTTTGATAAAACCTTTCAGCTGATCACTTGTTCGACACCATAAAACAGGACTAGCCAGCAATCCGCCTCTTACCTCCCCACACTTCTGCAATACTCACGGTATTTACACTGTGTTTACATGCCACTGTATGTTTACATACTTATTGTCATAATTATCTTCATATTTATTGTCTTATTGAGCACCATCATTGGTGTCACTGACTGCTTACTGTGCATGACAACAAGCTCTTGAATCGTGACTATTGAACATGGCTACACCTGCAGAGCTGTGTACTCAGTGTCTCCCTCTGCTGGTCTCCCTTGGGTTCTGCAGGAGATGCTTTACCAGCTGGGCTGATTGCCGGTACATTGATTCCTATTTTAATAGCAGCCTGTCTTCTGGGCTTGTACCTCACCTACAGTAAATTGTCTTACTTGCACCATTTCGCTCAAAGCTACAGTGTGATGGATGAATAACTGTGTCTGTTTTACAGGGAAAGCCACACTGGCCAGACCAAGGTGACACCAAGGCCAGACCAAGGTGACACCAAGGCCAGACCAAGGTAACACTAAGGCCAGACCAAGGTGACACTAAGGCCAGACCAAGGTGACACCAAGGCCAGACCAGGGTGACACTAAGGTCAGACCAAGGTGACACTAAGGCCAGACCAAGGTGACTGCTCTCTGTGTTATTAGTCTTCCTACAATTAAATTTCACAGTAAACAGCCACTCTTGACGAATCTGTGTTTCCTGTCGCTCTGGCAGGAGTAAAGAGGCTCGTCGGACTGAAAGTCACCGAGATCATCAGGAAAGTCTATTTGAGTGCCTCTGCTTTGTGTGTCCGCATGCTTGGGTACCTTCACCTTCACCTCTTATACTTCACCTACTTATACTGACCTTTCCCTGAAGATTCAGACCTTTCAGGAGGACCAGCACTGTGTGAGATTTCTAATAATAGTCGCTGCCAGTCTACAGCTGCGGTCTGCTAATGTCACCGATGTGGCTCCAGGGCTCAGGGGACGGCAGCTACTGTTCATACAGAGGACTGGAAAGTCAACCAAACGCTGAAGAATGTGAGGAAATGTTTTTGAAATTAAAGTGAAGCTTAATACCTCTCTCCCCTGATCCTTGTTCAGTGATTGATAGAAGTGTAATAATCTAATCTAACACAAAATAAGCATGTTTGGTATGATGTAAACATCCCAGACAGATTTATTTTACCATTTTGTGTGGTAGTACAGTACTTACTGATATTCTGGTCCCCTGCAGAGACAAAAAAATCATTAAATCATTATGTGTGATCTATCAGAGTTAGTGACCCATAGCGGTGGGAGAGATGCCCCCCCTTTCTGATAGCTAGTCAGCACGAGGGTTCCCAGCTTGCCAGGGGGGGGCGATGTTATCCTGTGTGTCCAGCCTGCTTGATCTATACACTGATTCACCTTATGTCTCCTTCTGATTAGATGAGAGCGTCTCTTGGGCCCAGTGGCAGCATCAGATGAAAATTGCAGTGGTAACAAGCTGATGGTCAGGGTGCGAGACGTTAGCAAGCCAACCCACTTGGTGACATATTCTGGGTGGGGGGCAACTTAGCAAGATAATGTTACTTTGTCCTAGATGGGAGGGAGGGAGGGGGGCACCACTGGTGAAGCTCGCCTAGGGCGACACATGGGCCTTGATGGGCCCAGTTAATAAGTTGAGCTCACATCAAATTGAGCTCACATCAAATTGAGCTCACATCAAATTGAGCTCACAAAATGCTTCTTCTGATCACAGTAACTGAAACCTGGCGGGAGAGGAAGAGGAAGGAAGAGGAAGAGGAAAGTCACTCAGACTTTGCAGGGTGAGAGAGATGGTCTTTGACGAATGCCTGAGAAGGTCCCTAGAAGGTCCTGAGAAGGTCCCGAGCTTCCTGACGGCCCAGCATCCAGCCCATCATCTCTGCGGTGACTGTTCCGGCAGCCTGGCCGTGGACACAGAGCCCCACTATTTAGTGAGAACTGACAGATGGCTATGAGCCAGTTGCTCCTCTGCACATGCATGAAAATAACTTCTCACAGCTTCATTTAATCACACAAATCTGTCAAAATTACCCTGTGGTCTAAATGCTCTTCTTGTATGTCATCCTTTCTAATTGGGTCAAAATAAATGATATTGTTGCATGCTGAGAGTAGGTGTCCAGGACGCTTTCACCACACGCCAGAGTTGGTTCATGTTCAGTGGAAAGCCAGCATCACTCTGAACAACACAGGGCCTCGACATGGACTTTATATATAACCTGACTGTGCCGCTCATTCAGAGATGTGTCTGTGGGGAGAAGCAGAATGAAAGTGTCTTTTTTGAACTAGCTGTGACGTTTATGAAGGACGCAGAACTGGCCAGGATCTCGCTGAGACAGGAGCACTTGACAGAAACCTGCTCTCATTTCAGACACTTAAAGCCACTTTGAAGCAACAGTTGCATATTTCTTGGTGCCAAAAAAGAGGTTTTACATTAGGGTTGACCTGCCATATAGGCTACATAAGTGACTGACTAGGACACCATTTGATTAAAGGGGCATGAAAGACAGTGAAAAAATCAGTAGAAATACCTCTGGTTAAATGCTGTGATATTACAGTTGTTATTTTAATATTTCAGTACTTTTCTTGTGTAACAGATGGAAGCTAACTAGTTAGCAGCCAGATACCCAGTGCTACTGAAATGTTTCTAATATAAATAATTGACAAAATTTGTTTTATCCTGCTCTGTGGGGTGGGGTGGG